AAATAATAAAATAAAAAATATTTAAATAAAAATTTATTTTCTTATAAAAACTACAAAATAAAATAAAAGAATATTTTTTTCAAAAAATAAAAAAATATTTTTGGAAAAAATAAAAAGTACATTTAGACCACGTATGTAAAAGAAATAAGCAAACTTTACTATAATATTATAAAAATATTTGACTACAAGACCAAAAAACTATTTTAGAAAATTAGTTTTGAAAATTTCTAATCAAACAAGTTTTTAATTTGTAAATTTCTAAAAATTACTTTCAAAATATACAACTTAAAAACTAATTTTAAAACTCAAAACTAAAAAAGTTTTTCAACTTTTAATACTTTTTTCAAAAATTTATCTTTTAAAATACAACTCAAAACTATTTGAAAAAACTAAACCAAACACCCTGGTGTCTTTGTCCCTCAACTTTTTTTTTTTTTCCTCTTTCTCTTTTTTTAATTTCTTCACCTTTTCGTGTGACTTGCCCTTGGCTTTCATATTTGGTGAATTGAAAATCAGTGATGGTAAACACTTAGGCTATCTTTGGCATGGTCTTTCTGATTATTTTAGTTACAAAACAAAAATAAATAAATAAAATAAGGTGAAAAAAAAGGCTATCTTTGGCATGGTCTTTCTGATTATTTTAGTTACAAAACAAACTAATGGACTTAGGATTACTGCTAATCTGGGACTCCCAGTGAGATTAGGATAAACTCTCTAAGAGTCTTATCTTTACCCAAACTGAAGTTTTCTCTCAATCTAGGACTCTTGTCCATATCCAAGTTGAGTTCCCTCTTCATTCTAGGACTTTATCTCGGATTCCGATATCTTCGGAGGCAACCTCGGCCTAGCTGAGATGACCTCGGCACAACGACCAAGACACGTGGCACCTCGGCTGACACGTCGGCATCACCTTGCCACGTGTTGGTACTCAGAAAATATTTCCCCACAACTGCCCCTTAGGTTCTATTACCTCGAAATTCTGAGGGTGGTGGAACCTACACTGTTCGTTCATCTGTGCCCCTCTATCTGAGATCAAACTCGTCGACCTCAAAGTTCCCTGGACTTTACTGTCCACTTCTGTCATGTATCAAGATTCATGCCTTCTAAGCTGCTTGAAATCGCACCTCCTAACCGAGGTTCTAGTTCCATTAATTCGTAAACTCCAAGAGCTTTTGCAACTGTTCCACTCACATTCTCTGGTGAGTTCCCGATTTTTAATCATCTATTTGACTCCGTCGATTTTCATATCGGCGTTCATTTCACGTTGTAGGTTCATAAACTCTTTACTTGCTATTAAGCTCAATCTTTCATAACTCTTTTGATTTACTTTAAATCTGTTTATTTGCCATCTGTTGCCTTCTATTTTCATCTGTCTTCAAGTCTTGAATTGTTTGAATGCCTGGCACCTGTTCTTGTCATATCCGCTTTCTGTTGCTAGTATCATGTCTGGTTCATTACTTTCTTGTTCTTCACATACTTACTTAGTTCCTATGCACTTGACTTTATTCTTGAACTTTGTCGTCTTCTTGACTATTTTTCTCTTTTTTCATTTAATCCTCTGGCTTCTTCTCTTTCTAGCTCTTTTGCTTAAATCAAGCTTTCAAGCTTCTGCAACTGTCTTCGTTTCTCTCCTCCGGTGAAGCTTTACGTCATTCTGTCATTGTCGTCAGACTTCGGCGATTCTCATTCCGGCTTCCCTCTTTCTGGTAAGCCACTGTTCCTCCTGGTTTTATTTCTTGTTGCTTTCCAAGAAGCTCTGCTTCATTGTTAATCACCATTGCTTGTTTTACCCGTTATTTCCAAATCATCTTCTTGAATACACACTGTTCACACATCTGTTGATTTCTACCACTGTTCTTGGCTTGACATACTTGTGCAATCTTTTTATCTTGATTTCTTGATAACTTCATCATCATTCTTGATTACGAATTACATTCATGTTTCTGTTTTCTGTGTCTTTTTCCAGATTCTTGCTTTCAATCTTTGCCTTCAAACTCCGAGGTGCCAATCGCCAAGAAGAGCCTTGATCAAACTCTTCAGGAGATCGAGGCTGAGCTCGAGGCTGAGAAGTCTTCCCAACTGTCTTCTATATCCTGCCATTGATGCCGAGTAGTTTTGTTTTCAATTCTCTTTCTTCTTCTTCGGCTAAGCCTAAGCCGAGAAGAAAGAAGCGCTCTTCGTCACCCTCCTGGACGAGGATTTTCTTCAGTGTCTCTTCATTCTTTTCGGCTGGCTCCTTGCCGACATCATCTAGGACCTCCATGTCCTCGTCTTCAATCTCTGCCTTCCCTGGTTCCCGAATGTTGCAAGTAGTTTTCATTGCTGCCATGGAGCAATTCTTTGCCTGCAGTTGGTCTTCTCTGACTTCTTCAATCCCATGTTCTGTGGGGAACCGCAATAGTTGATGCAACGTTGAGGGAACTGCCCCCATTACATGCAACCATGGCCTTCCCAAGATGATGTTGTAAGGTGAAGGCGTGTCAATCACGACGAATTCTGTTTTGACCTTCTTCTAACTGCTCTTGCATGATTCTATACTTAGAATATTTTGTATGCCTTTCATACTTTGCCTCCTTTGTGCAATCTTCTTGGGGTTACATACCTCGGGTATAATAGCTACAAAACTTTTACTTTGGCAAGATACTGACCTGCAAACTTTTCATAAATTCTAACAAGTGTGAAACATATACTACTCAATGTTAACTTTGCAAACTTTTTCTCAAGTTTCAACAAACGTTAAAACGGTGATCTCGGTCTAGCCTACTTGTAAATTGCTACAAATTTCAACAAGGGTTAACATATACTGTAACAGGAATCAACAAGGATTAACATAACAAGTGTTAAACAATAATCTATTTGTAAATTACTACGAATTTCAATAAATATTTAAACAACATACTTAGCTTTTTCCTCAGCCTGTAAATTGCTGCAAATTTCAACAGATGATCATATGTCGGCTTAACGTTATCTTGTAAATTGCTACAAATTTCAACAAGTGTTAAGCATCTTCTTTGGTTAGGCCAACCTGTAGATTGTTATAAGTGTGCAAACTATGACCTCGGCTTCACTTTGACTTGTAAATTGCTACAAATTTCAATAAGTGAATTAAGTAATAATCTCAGCTTAACTTCGACTTGTAAATTACTACAAATTTCAACAAGCGAAGATAAGGAATCAGCTTAACTCCAACTTGTAAATTGCTACAAATTTCAACAAGTGAAGATAAGGAATCAGCTTAACTCCAACTTGTAAATTGCTACAAATTTCAACAAGTGAATTAAAGAATAATCTCGGTTTAACTTCAGTTAAGCATCATCTCGGCTTAACTTTGGTTAAGCATCGTCTTGGTTTCTCTTCTGTTAAACATCATTTGGGCTTAACTTCGGTTAAGCGTCGTCTCGGCTTAACTTCGGTTAAGCGTCGTCTCGGCTTAACTTCGGTTAAGCATCATCTTGGCTTAACTTCGGTTAAGCATCATCTCGGTTTAACTTCGGTTAAACATCATCTGGGCTTAACTTCAGTTAAGCGTCATCTTGGCTTAACTTTGGTTAAGCATCATATTGGTTTAACCAACTTGTAAATTGCTACAAATTTCAACAAGTGGTAAACGCATTCTTCTTCTCTCTGCCCCCCCAGTGTGAACTTAAAATCCACTTGGGTTCTCATCATACATGTGGCTTCGACCTTTTCGCCGAGGTTTAATTCAACCCGAGGTTGTCGGCCTTGGTTTCTCTATTGATCTTACTTGGCTCCAACTTGAGTTTGATTTTCGGCCTCGAATCGGCGAGTCGTTTCTCTTTTCTCGTTCCGACGCCTTTGTTCCCGGCATGTCCTCCTCGGCCCTAGTATACTTCTCAATTCTGGCCAACTTTAGTCTGATCTTGTGTGTTTTCTTTTTATCTTCTGGGATCTGAGATCTG